TATATATATATATATATATATACATATTGGGTGGGGTGTACGTTTACTGTATGCAAGTAATGTGTATTATGTACATTATTTGTGTGAAGAGGGTGAGGGATGTTTATGATTTATTTATTAAAATCTAAATTGTATTTTCTTTAGTTAAGTTCTTTAATTTGTTTAGCTTTAAGTTGTTGTTTTCCTATTTGTTTATTAGTTTAGGTTTGACTGCCCCACTTTCTTGTGTGCATTCACTGTTGTAAAAGTGTAACGTCAAATAAATATTATTATTATTGTCATAGAAACTTTAATAACGGCCAGTACTTACACATCTGACATCCCCTTTGGAATAAGCTCAATCGTACAAAGTGGATGCTTTCCCGGCTTTGGATGAAGTACACTCTGGGGAAGCTCTGTGGTCGACTGGTTTAGTCTCACATAAATTTCTATGGATTTTTTGCTCTCGTCCTCACAGACCTTGGTAGTGTAACAATGACCAACCCATGTAGTTTTGACATCAGAGCGACTTCGGCTTAGACTGCTTGGTGGAACTTCAAGGCCAGGGTAGCGTACACAGAGATAATCATGACAACCCTCCTCATCTTGGACACTGGGGTCTTTATTCAAGATCATACCATTAAATCTAATAAATAAAAGAAAAGCATTACGAATGTTTGGTTATTGGGAATACAATAATTCATAGGATTTTATATTTTGACCCAGGAATTGAAATTATAATTACCATAAACCAAAACCTGTTCCAAGACTATCTACAGTATTTTTTTCCTAAATAACATTCTTGAATTTAATTCATAAAGATACATTGGTTATTATTGTTTTAGAGAGTAATTTGTCATGGTGAAAGATGTTCAAATTTCCACCTTAATCTTTTGTAGCCTAAAACCATAATACATACATACATTCCTCGAACCTTTTTTAATGTATAAATATGAATAAAGTATATTTGTACAATTTTGATTGTAGATTCTTTAATAACTACATAAATGATACTTTAACGTACCTTATAGAGCGTTCTGTACAGAATGTTTTTGGTAGCCTGAATACGCCATGGTAGAAATTATTGTCTGAATCATCATGATCAGAGTACCAAACAATTGAGACATTTCGAATGATGATAGTGTCATCTTCTGATACAGCATTGAACGCTGATGACATTGACAGAACTGCCTGCCAACGTTCCTTGTAGGTGCTTATAACATTTGTACCTCTGAGTTTCTTGGTTGCCAGCTGAGAGAAACATGTAATGGGCTCAGACCGATGTTCTAGACATATGTCTAATTCAGGAGTGAAGTTGAACAGTTGTATCTTTGGCTCAAGGAGCCCTCTCTCAAAACCTGCTGACAGTTTAACTTCCACTAAGTTTCCCATAGCATATTTTCTTTGGAACTCAACAAAGTGACGACGGTTTCCATGTCTGTCTAGGATTTCCGATGTAATCTCCTTTTTGACCAATTTTCCATCCTGGTTAGTTATTAAATTCCTTTTCTTCTTTTCTTTTTCAGCATTGTCAATTTCAAGTGCAGCATAGTACATTGCAGCACGAATTTGATGAATATCTTCGTCTTCAATCCCAGAAAGCAGGTCTTTCCACAAATCACTATTAAATGTCACAGAAAAACGTTGTGTATCAAGTTCCCATATGGAATTGTCCATTTTTTTAGGTAGAACTTCATCTGGTGGAGCTTTGGCATCATAGATTCTTTGTTTCCATATTAAGGTAATGGAGTTATCATCTTCATTAACATCTGGTCTTCTTAAAGGTTTTAGATAATTTAGGCCTACGGATCTTTGAGTGGTTGGCATGAAAGAAATTGGAAAAACAAAGCTTATACGTCTATCTGATGTTTGTTCCAGAGCAGGTAAATATGCCAGTGGCACATCTTTCAGTTGCAGAGCCATCATTAATGTCTTGGTCTTTTTCTCGAAAACCTTCGCATTTGAAGACTCAATTGACGAATGGTAGCATATTGAACTGATATCTTCCTCCGTATATGGTATAGGCTTTCCTTTGATGGCCGCTTCGATAAGACGATGGACGACTATGTCGATATAGCGTCTTATGGGAGATGTAAAATGAGTGTAGAAATGAAGTTCAAGAGAGTGATGACATAGGTCCAAACCACCAGATATGCTTTGACCGGAACAGATGTAATTTGATTTTTCCTGTATCATATAATAATGTGTCATCATCACAGATAGCTTAGGATGTCTATTGTCATTGCAGATTATGCTAATTATTTTCATCATGTCAGCAGGACTGGCATCTGTACCTTGCTCGATGTCATTGACTATGGTAACTAACTGGTTCCAATCTCTTGTCTGCATGGTAATAGTGTTGTTTTCTGCGCCACAAATGCAACCATAATTACAGTTACACTGTGATTTATCTATGTAATCCTGAAACTTTCCTGACATCAGTTTACTATTTCTTATATCAGCCAAGTGTTTCAATTGAAATTCTTGTAACTTTTCAGGATCTGGTGGGAGTTGTCTCCTTAGTGGTACGCACTGTGGAAACTTACCAATCAAATATTGGGCGATGGCTTTGTTGGCAAGGATCATAAACTCCTCAATGAGTGAATGTGCAAGAGGAGAATGTACATCTTCTTCGCCATCATCTACATTGTAACTGTATCGACCGTCCTTCAACCTAGCAGCGCGAGATTTCTGGGCTAATTCATTTAATTTATGAAGCCCATCAACAATGGATCGCTTAATATCTGTCTCGTGTCGATTGTAAATAACATCTTCGACCTCCTCATATGTGAATTTTCTTTTGGACCTAATAACTGTTTTAGTAATCTTTGTACAATTAGTATTTTTGGCACAATGCAGACCATCTTTATTGATGTCCATAAACACAGATATAGCTAACCTATCTTGTCCAGGTTTTAAACTGCACAGGTCATTACTGAGTCTTTTTGGCAGCATATTGATAGGGGCTGCAGACGCCGGGTAGTATGATGTCGCTCTCTTCTGAGCATCATTATCAAGCAATGAATCTTTTGAAACGAAGAAACTCACATCTGCAATATGAACCCCAATTTCAAAACGATCGTCTGCAAGTTTGCGAATGCTAATTGCATCATCGATATCCTGACAATCTTTGGGATCAATAGTGAATGTTTCGAGGTCTCTGAAGTCACTTCTCTTTTTTATCTCTTCATCTGGAATTGTCCAAGCTTCAGGAAAGTTATCGTCGAGTTCCTCTCGAACTTTACGCCTCCAGGTATCTTCAACACCGTGGACGAGTTTGAGAATATGAAGGCCCTGCTTCATAGTATTCCCCGGCTGAAGCTCCTCCGTAACAAATCCCAAAGGATAGTGCATTTTGCTGGGCCATTTCCAATATCGTACAACAAATAGTCTGTGTCGGCGATCTTTGTTAGTGACCTCGACATTTCGGTCAAAAAGAAATTTGCCATCTTTATTTAGATTATAAATTGCAACAATGGTATTCTCAACCGATGACGTGTTTCTGTTTTCCGTTTTAGGCATGCACAGTTTTGGGAATGTTCTGTTGACGGGTACCATAAGGCCGTTGCTAAAAGGATCTAAAGTACAGACTATCTTACATAAATATGGATCTGTTGCTCTCCTCAGGACATGAACAACACGGCCATATATTCTGTCGTTCAAATTTTCATCTTCTGGCTTAATTTCCGATAGTTTAATGTCGACTTCCTCAAGAACGTCTTCATTTTGCTGGATTTCTACAATAACCTCATCGTTGTTTAAAGCCCGTCCTCTATTATGCTTACTCATAATAAAGATGATGCCTGGCACATCGTCCTCTAATGTTGTGGCATATACCTTTCCTTTCACATCAAGGTGGAATTTACATCTTTTATATTTCTCAGGTTCTGATTCAAGAAGTGGTTTGTATTTTTCCTCTGAGGCTTTTTGGTCTAATTCTTCACTACTTGTGTCTGTATCTGGATCATATTCATCAAAAAAATCTGCCCCTTGCAGTTTAGATTGATCTCTTTCTGGCACGAAAATCATTTTCACTATTTCTTCTAATTCATCTTTTTTGTTTTGATCTAGTAAATGCTTCTCTACTCGGATTTCTTCAGTATTTAGTTGAAGATCATTTTCATTGTCTTTATCATCACTATCACCTCTGTTATCTTCAGTTAAACCTTCTATATTCTTGAGCGGCATTTCGTTATTTACTTTAGCCTCATTTAAGCCTGATGAAGAATCACTTTTTTCAACGTCAACGTCAGTTTGAAAGGTTGTGTCATACTTTCTTTCTTGTAAAACGTGCCTCCTTAGCTCCTTCAGAATGGAATCATCAATCTTTTTAATATCGATTTCTTCCTCATCTTCTGACTGCCATTCTTCGGACTCCTGAATCAGGCCAACCTTTGGTGGGAAAAATGTAAAATCACCACTAACGTAGGTTTCATCTTCTACTTGGTCTATTGTGGATAATGGAGGGTAATCCTCGCTAATCTGCCTCTTTGGTAAGGTGTCAGATAGTTTCTGCCAATACGACGGTTCTGGTATTGTTGAAGCTACGTTAAACTGTTTTAAAATACCAAGAGGATGTTCGTTGTCACGCTTTCCAGTGTTCGCCATTGGTTTGAATGGAGCTGCAAATGGATTCAGTGTTTTCACTGCCTCAATCTCTCCACGTATTCTCTGGAGGGTGATGTCATGTGGATACAGACTTTTGTGACGCTCGCATCGCTGAAGAAACTTTTCCCAAACCTTTGAACAACGTCCAATGGAGCACATCGCTATAGGATCTCCAACAATCACCAAATGAGATTTAGCACGTGTAAATGCAGTGTTTAGTAACTTTTCATCCGAAAGAAACCCGTAATAAAATTCTGCACTTTCATCTGGGTCATTCTGCTTAGCAGTAACATGAGTCTTCGCCAATGTCAGCCTAGTTCGCACGACGCTGATAAACAGAGCTCGAAATTCTTTACCTATATGGACAAATTATGTAATCGTTAGAAGGCGCAAAAGGATACGAAAAAATACGCATTTTGCTATTAGTGAAATGCGATATTCATAGGGAAAGTCTGTAAACAGATACCATGACGTTGAAGTGAAAAGCAACAACGTAGAGCACTATTTTAGTGACATATTAATGAACAAACAGATAAAGGTCTTAAAAAATACAGCATAATGATTAAAATCTCCTTGAATAAATATAAATTAGGGCTATTTAAATGCGATAATTTCGAAAGAAAATGTTATATTTTTATACCATTATTGCCTGGTTTTTAGTCACATGAATACAAGCTTTGGCTCTGAGAAGCTAGGACATAGAGACTGTTGTTAAGATAAAATATGTTTAGAGACATGAGTGTGTATGTACACATGCCCATAGTGTTAGGTAGCAAAAAATATATATACTACCGTACCTTGTACATTTCGGACACCTTCAACTGTAACGTGATTTAACTTGCGTCTTCTGAGTTCTTGTCGAATTTCACGAACCTGACAAAATATATATGTGTACGAACGTAAGGTACATTATAATGTTGTGAATAATTAAGGCAAAATATAATGTTGTTAGGCCTAGTTTCGTGACTGAATAATATAGTAATATGTAATTATAATAACGTAATTTCCATCTAAATAACGTTGCAAATATTATTGCAACGTTCGCGAACACAGACCTTATATACGAATGTCTGTGGCAGGGACGTAGCCAGGATTTTTAAAGGGGGGGGGGGAGCCATTATGCGAATTACGTATGACCCCGGCGGGGTCAAGGGGGCGAATCCCCCTGTGAAGTAGCGCACTCTGAACGTTCTTAGGACTGTTTGAGAGGATAAAGTAAAAATTGCAATAGACGCATTATAAATAAGCAAAAAAATAATTATATAATAAATCAACAATGGCAGATCCAGGAATTCGAAAGAGAGGTGAACCAGGGAGGGACTTTCACAGACCGAGGAACCACCCACCTCAGCCCCACCATGGTTGGGGCTGAGACAAGAAAATTTATGATTAGGGCATCTCTAGATGGCCGGAAATTACACTCTCGCACTTTAATTTGAATTTATTTTTCCCTTTTTTCCTTAAAAAAATGAAGGGGGTGCCTTGAATCCACCTCTGCTCAAAACATTCTTTATCCAGAATAGTCATAATCACGAAAAATGGACATGAAAAACCAGATCACATCCTAAAAACAAACAGCAGTCACTAGACATACATCAGGAGCCGACTCGATGGAGTTTAATGTCATACCCAGGGAAGAGCACAGATCTGTTTTGAAAGGTGGAGGGGGAGGACATTTTGTAAGTCGACACCCACGCCAGCCCCACAATGGTTGGAGCTAAGGTGAGAAAATTTGAGGAAATAGTACCTCTAGATGGCCAGAAATGACACTTTTAGTAAAATTCATCATCATCACATCACCATTAGTCAAAATGAAGCGCCAAAAGAAATTCTCATGATAAGAAACTTGCAAAAGGACAAAAACGAAATTGAACCACAGTATCGCATTTCTATCTTAAAAGACCTGGCCTGAGATTTATGGATTTAAGATTTTTTTAAATCACGCTTAGGCTTATGTGTTCTATTAGGCATATGTATAACGTGTACTGATGCATATTTACATGTTTAGAAGTATTCATTTTAAGTGATCCCAGGAAAGAATTTGTATTGGCTCAAGAATAAGCTTTAAAATTTTAACACTGTGTACAAAGGGGGGGGGGGGAGCCGCGGCTCCCACGGCTCCCCCCTGCATACGTCCCTGGTCTGTGGTTATAATAACGTTTGTGTTTGCTGGGAATTTTGTAAGAGCTTCTACCTGGGAATCGTACGGTGTAACAACGCCGATGTCTATTGTCTCTCCCCATTCGGATGGCCAGTTACGACAAAGGTCCTCCACTCTGAATCCAAGCTCCACAACCTCATCTCTATTCAAATATGATGTCCCCACCAAATGATCTTGACCCCTCACTGCGTAAAAAGATAATGGGTACATATTGGGACATGGTGGATGGGTCTTCTTTGAAATCAGCTTTGTTTTGTAGTACATATCCGAGACGAATGATAGAATCTCTTGACACGTTCGGTAGTTGAAATGAAGAAGAATGCTGTTGTTATCATGCGCATTGCGGTAATGCTCATACAGACGCTGAAGAATTGATATATTGAATCCACCAATACGCGCCACCTCAGAATAGACCTATAAAACAGTTAGTAATAACATAACTTTAGGTTTAACGTTTAGGTATTTATTTATTTACCCATAGCTAGTCAATAAATGAAAGTTAAAATGAAAAAAAAAAAAAAAGAAATACAAAATTACTATTAGTTGTGACGACTTCTTTGGTACTACGAAATACATTAATATGGCTTAAATTCAAGTCAGTTATATAATCATATTGAATAAAAAGTGTAATGAGTAACCGAATGAGAACGTCGTAATCCCAACTTCTTACCTTTGGACTCATTTGGATATGGTCTCCAGCAATAGCTATGCATGTCTTCCAGTCAGCCATTGTTAATGGCATGATGGCTTGAGATTCTAGTGCTTGGCCTGCTTCATCAATCAGTATATGCGTAAAATGACCCTTTAAATTTAGTCTGGCTAAATGTAAAGTCATATTGAGTGTGCATATGACGATACGAGATCTCACTACGTCTTCTTTGGTTGGTAAAGTGACCATCAGTGTTTTTTCGTCGATAAGACAATATTTTCTAACGACGGGATCGATGGTCTTGAGACGTCGTTTTGTTTGATATACACGCAAGAGGGTTGGTTTTGGACCATCCTTTGAGTACGTTTCGAGATACTCATTTAAATGCTCCTTGATGTATAGATCTGCTCCACTGAAAATTGAATGATATATATAAATCATGATATGAAGAATATGTAATACGGCTCACAATTATTTATTTATTTATTTAACTTTCTTTTATGAGGGTAGACCTTAAAGCGAGGCTGACTCTAAGATGCCCTCATAACAAATACAAAACATACACAGTAACACGAGTAAAATACAAATGGCACAATGGAAAAAAGATTCTCTATAAAATCTGAAACAGTTGTAAAAAACAATAAAATATAAAATTTATTTTCAATATTCAATAAAATTATGCTAAAAAATAATTAAAAAAAACAATCTTTAGCTGGATTTAACCGCTTTTTTAGTTCATTTTTTAAGAATAAAATGTATTGCTGTTCCGCATATTATTGGGAAGTGAATGTGAGGGACCTTTGTAGCTAAAACTACTTTTAAACATTTGAGTTCTCGGCTAGTTGGGCAAATGAAATGACTACATGCTCTAGTAGACATGCTTCTGATTTGGACTTTGGTGAATAGTTTGCAGAGGTAGTCTGGACCGACACCACTAGCAGAACGGTATGATAGGCGGCCAAGCTGTAGATTGAGTCTGTGTGAGAAGTTGCAGGGGCGGATCCAGAGATGTCCAAAAGGGGGGGGGGGGGGGGGGGTTGCCGAAATTTGGGCCGATCAAGACAACAATGTCCTAGGGGGTCCGGCGGCATGCCCCCGCGAAACTTTTGTGTTCTAGACGCCCGAAAATAACATTTGAGGCGTTGTGGGCTATCATTTCTTTTCTTTTTCTTTCTTTTTCCCCCCCTTTTTTTTCCCTCCCAAAAAGGGCCGCCCCCACCCTAAATCCGCCCCTGAGTTGTGAAAAGCGTTGTGAGAAGGGTGGCTGATGGTGTGAATGGGTGGGCTTTTAGTACGATATGCAGTGCTTTGTATAAATTTTGTTAGTATTTATTATGGACCTGCCTCCCCAAACACCGCAACAGTAATCAATATGGGGAAGAGTAATGGTGTTATAAATAAGACGTGTTGTGTGTGTCAAGAGTGGATTCGTGCTAGGAGAGTTGTAGAGTAATATACAGTATTAATTGATTAACTCGCCCCAGTCCTGTAGAAATCTTAACCATCGAATATTTCTTTTTAAATGTTTGAACTCAACCTTTGAATGTAAATTAGTATAATTTGTGTTCATTCGTAATTTAAGAAATAATTATGTTCTTTTTGTTCCTTTTACTAGAGTCAATGTTTAGAAAAAACGGGTATATTATTAAATTAGGTTTTTTACGACAATTTAATTTCGACCAATCTAATTCACACACTTCGTCGTAGCGTTTTAGGTGTGATTAGTTGAACTCATAATGCCTGTATGTTTTGTACCTTCTTGTTTTTTGGTAAACAAATAAATAATACAATAATAAATAAATATATATATGTATATGTAACGTTTAGGCCTATACTAAATATTGTCACAAACCTATTTGACATTGTGCAAATCAAAACTTTTGTATCATGTCTACGAAGAATTCTCTTCACTGATGTTGCCATAGTCAGGGTTTTGCCTGTGCCAAACGGACCATAAATGACTAATGGTGGTCCTTGGACCTTTGAAGATCCCGCTAAGCACATGTACTGTATTGCTTGTTCCTGACGCCAATTTAGCTCCTGGTCTTCTCTATCACCCTTTATCGGGATATCAAGTGTGTTTCCAGGGGTTGGTAAAACTGCTTCCATATGTTCCAAACTATCAATGGCGAAGTGCATTTGGCAGAAAGGAAACCGGTTAAGCTGGAATTGAACTTCGATTGTTTTCGTAGTGCCCACTTCAAGTTTGAGATCCTTTACACAAGAGGCGTACAGATGTACGTATATGTGGTCTTTTGTCCGACCGTCGATCGTCTCATCGGACACGATTTGAAGTTCATGAGCCTGATTCGATTTGGAATCAAATTTGCACAATATATTCTTCACTGACTCCATGATCAGTTGACTGGATTCAGAATCACAGTTGAGAGTTTCAGTTAGCACAATTTTCCCATAGAGTTCGCCATTTTGGGCGATAAATAACTCGGAACCAGCATAAGATTCGATAGTGATGTCTTTACTTATATACATCTCAGTTATTGTATTGAACCTGAAATAGAAAAAGAAACTTGTACTATAAAAAAAATAGAAATTTTGGCAACTTATCTTATTGTCTGGTCATGTTTGTAGTTTCAATATCCCTTTGCTTAACATATTGTTTTAAATAATAGCATGGATTATATCCTACCTGTTGATTGTTTTCATCCTATCTCTTTCTTCCAGAGACACCATTTTGTGCATTCTATGTTTGTAATTCTCTTTGCTTAGTATACCTACATTCAAATCATCAATATTTAGATTCGCGCTCGGTGGTTTGTATTTTTGGAAGAGACTTTCTTCAAACGGTTCAGGTATGGTCGGGCGCAATATCTCCGTGTTGCTTGTGTCCCAAATGATGGTAGACTCAATAGCACTTAATTGTTTCATAAATTTAGGCCGATCCTCCTCAGCGCCGACATGAATCGAAAGTTTCCGAACCAAGACTGGCTCACTCCCGAAGTCAAACACAACCCATTGGTGAAAGCTTCCGAGCATGTTTGAGTTAAACTTCACATCAATACTGTATGTATATCCATCTGCAATCATACTTCCTGGGCAAACCTGCGGACTAACTTCACCTTGTGGATGTGATAAGAAGAAGTGAAGACGATGTTCGTCATACAGCAACCCGACACGTTTTAATCTCTTTTCCTAAAATACAGTATATCAATAGGTAAATTTATATCAGTCTCTTTTAAAACACATAATTAGGTGAATATTGTGAATTGATTCCAAGTAACAATTTTAAAAATGTTAAAAGAACTTACTCCATCGACACACTCCACCTCGAATGTCCAAGATTGATGAAACTCTTTAGGCCTATCGGCATTCCGTTCAATAGCACTAATAAATGAGTTGAGCTTCTCTTCACATTTAATCCGAATTCCTGGCAACTCTTTCTCGGTTATCTACAAACAATAACGATTTTGTTAACAAAGTGTAATATACCGTACTTTATAGGCTTTACTCAATTTGACTAGGGATTAGGATTGGTGTGCGCCCTAATCATCATAAACATTCCAGGTAATGATATTCCAATGCCTTTGGTTTAACCTTCCAGAACCATGAAACATACGATACTTCGCATTCTTCGCATTATAATAATACCATGACACGTGATATATTGCAACATAAAATATACAAAAACATACCACTGTAACTTCAGATGTCGATAAGTTGTACTTAAGCAATAGTTCGTCCATGAATGAGAAGAGTTTGCTCTTCATGGCCTTGTGTCTTTTCATGATTCGATATTGGTGGCGCTCTTTCCACTCTTCCAACTCTTCTTCGCTGTGGGCCTCAGTGCAGGGGTTGTTAGCTGGGTCTGCTTCAGAGTACGGACACCGATTTTCTTTGTGTCTAAACAATTTAAAGAAAAAACATACGAAATATATAAAAATTGAAAGAGTCTGAAATCTATTGTAAGCATAATTCCATGTAGTACATTCAACAAACGCAAACTCTTGGCATAAAGAAGTTTTTTTGCACCAAAGTTCAAATATGTGATATCCATCAATAATAGTACATGGATGCAGAACTAATCATGTATAAGATTTATACATAGGCCAACATTAAAGCGGAGGTTTATATATAAGTACAGTAGGCCTACTATAAAATTGTGTTTCATCTTACCTATCGCACATGACGTAACGACCATTTACCACGTCAAGTGGTGGACTCCGGTGATTCCAACTCCTTTCCGTATCAGAGTTTACACATTGTTTGTGCTTCAGTGTGTTAACGTGGTAGTTAAGATGTTCCACTGAATTGAAATTCATCTCGCAGTAAGAACAATGATAAATAGTAGATACACGTTGAAGGCGCTCTACCGTTCCGGTTGGTCTCTGTTCGTCACTGGAGGTCTTCTTGCCTTCAACTACCTCTTCTAAGTTTTTGACTGATGCACAAAATTAAAAAATCGTATTTGTTTCAATTTTACCTTTATACAAACAAAATTAGAAGCATAAAGTAATTATGTATAGGTTTTGACCTTTAGGCCTATATTTATACGTAATTTATATAATAATATAAAATAATATTAAAAAATTAAAACATTAATTGTACTGTATTGAAAATTAAAATTGAACTGACATTTGTGTTTTGCCATGAAAATCCAAAGTTTCTGTTCCTCTTCAGAGTGGCAAAACATGCATTGCTTTCCATGTATATTTCCGTAGTCACATTTCCCTTCTCTCTTACATATACTAGGTGTGATATTAGGTCTAAGATCTGGATGTCTCCCGTTTACTTTGCTCCACTTTCGCCGGGATTCATTGAACATCAGGCAAATCTTGTCCTTCCAGGTATGCCCAGCACCGCATGTCATCGGATTTTTAGAACTTTTCTCTTGTTGCTGCCCTCCACGGTTCCAACACGTGCCACACACAAATTTCAATGTAAACGGACAGGTTGTCGGTTGTTTATTTTGCGCGACATCTGGTGTTGAGACTTTTACGGGTGTAACAGCATGGTTGATTGTTGGCGCCATTATTCGGCAATGTTCGACAAGAAAGTCTCTATTAATGCCACCATGTGTTCGTTCCAACTTCCAAACTTCAAGTTCTATGACACCGTGAGCAAAATTACATGTGTCGCCTCTGCTGCAACCGTACGCTCTGAAATAATGTCGACACTTATTTGCTACGTTGTTTTGAAGCTTAGGCCGTATGAACGAATACCGAATCCTTCCGTTTTCAATTATTTGGTGGGCTAATATCTTACATTTAGACCATTGATGTCTTGAGAAGTGGTGTCCACAATAACCAGGATCACTGCTGTTTTGATAGCTTATGCAAGGTGGCTTTGAATAAAGACACTGTTGGCATATATAAGTGAAACATCCTTTCACGTTACTGAGAAGAGCACTGACCAATGTCGACTGATGACTGGCAGCTTTTAGGCGCTGGTTTTCTTTGGTTGAAGGATCCAATAAAAGTTGACGACCTTCCACTTTGAACGTACGCTGTTCATGTATAATTGGCACGTGAGTTGATTGGCGGCCATTTATCGGTGACCCTAATAAAGGAAATTGTTGAGCCGAATTTGAATTTATATTTGGTTTAGTAGTAGGCTTAGCGAAGGGGCTTGAGGGCACTCGTGGTGTCGGTAGAGGAAGATGGGTAGTTGAAGTCTTGTGTGTCTGGATCTTTGGTGAAGCTGTCCTAGGTTGTAAGACTTGGGAGGTACCAAATGATATCGGCGAATTAGAATGATGTTGCTGGTCACGATCAGCAGATTTAGGTTTTTCGTTATTTGAAATGGGCTGTGCTTCAAACATTGTCGTGCCTGGTTGGTGAAACCCGGAAGCTGAGGCGGCTGTTTCTGGGCTGTGCGTCAAAACAACACCACGCTGTGACTGAAGTCTGATGTTTGGGCTTCCGGCAACCACATTTGCTGCACCACTTTTCGACCGAACAGGGTCTAATTTCAGATAAAGCACAACTTCACTACGATTGAATACACCATTTCTTTCTGCATTCCAGACAGTTATTTCCTGGATAGTGTGTGGAAATATACAGCACTCTGTAGGAACCTTGCATGGTTTGTCTGATTGATAGAAATTGCATAGTTTGTATTGTCCTGTGAAATTTTTTTTGACACGATCACGGATTTGACACCAAATAGAACGCTTGAATATCTGGCTGGCTGCAGTGTCTGGGCAAATTAAGAAGTCTTTTAAACAGTTGTGGTTTTTCATTTTCTCAAAGTATACATGTCCGATCCGTCCATAATAGGATGTGTTTGAAAAACAATTTCTACAGGCGAGTTTTAAATTTAAATCTTTGACCCATTTTTTTGACGGTTCAGATATAAGAGCGTTGTTTGAAGAAGTGTTTGGAATTGGAGGAGCATTATTTTTATTAACATCTTGTTCTGTAACTATAAACGAGAATATACAATTCAAATAATGAATGACATTTTAAAATGAATATTTTTATAGCTTCTAAAAATACTCTTAGAATTGGTTGGCAATATTGTTAAATAAATAGAAAATAATTAATGAAAAAATGTTTCAAATGTTCTCACCTCTAAGGATGTGGTGATTAGTAGTATTATCTCTTGTGTTGTTGGCCTGCGACCCATTCTTTGGTGAGTTTTTCGGTGACCCCTGCCCAGACTAATATGGATGTAGAAAAATAAAAAGTAAAATGTATACCGCGTGGTATCTACAGATATGCTTGGATGTGTTCATAATTGATCATTTCCGGGCATTATGTGGTATAGAAAATAGAGTAAACTTTATTAATTGCCAAGCACACTCAATAACCTGCTGCGGGTCACCTGATATTTACAATCTGGCTTTGTAGAATTTCTACATTACCAGGTCTACCAGTGATTATCCAATACATTTAGTTAGAATCTTCTGGTCACTTTTTTTGTTTTTGGTATTACAATAGATTAAATAGATTGTTACCATATTTCTACGCCTTCTTGTTTTGGTAGACCAATCGCCTGTGTCAATATCATCTAGGGAATCGATTCCACCTCCGTGTGCCCCTGACACAGAGGATGGTAGAGGAATTTGGATTGGATTAGAGATTTCTCTTGGACCTGCATTAAAACATTGTCCTAATAAAGTAAACATAGAACTGTTTTAGAAAATATAAACAACAGTGAATTGATCTGGTGTCTTTCTATTGGGAAAATGCCTTTGCATAATATTATAAAATGTATTCAAGATAACATAATGCAATGTAAGTCTTATTCAAAATCAAATTTTGCTCTATAGTACGGTATTACACCCATTAAATTGTAACACATTCGTCGCCAAATGCAGTTTGAAGTTGACTAATTTTCACATACTGAATGCATGTATAAGTGAACCAATAAGTTAAATCCTTGTTCGAGCTAATTAGTTAATTTGGTGCTAATAGGTTGATTAAAAATCATCAAATATCTACCAGATTGTGAATTCTTTAGTTTAGATTGAGCCAACTCTGATTCTGAGATTTCACTAGCTATGCTAGTATCCGAACCGTATTCGTCATCATCTTCGTCACTTTTCCGTGTTGATGCGGTGTAAATATCATTGGCCGAACCTGCGCAAGTAATAGATTTACACAATTACAGCATAGACTTTGTTAACTCAGCTATAGTTAGCTGTAAGCTATTATTCATATATGAAACGTACACTTCTGGAGGTCTCGCCACTCCATGTTACAAAAATATATAGGCCTATACAGGAGTGTGAAGCAATAACTAAGGTTGAAGTAGGAGTAACAGTATTTCTGGTGTGAATCAAATCAAGGACTTGTTACCAGTGGGGTCTGTCTGGAGGTCGTAAATCACTAGACATTCTAATCAATATCAGAAAAAACAATGTTTTCTATCTTACCAATATTTCGTTTTAATCTTCAGCTCTATAAATTTGTGTCTCGCTACTTTGTTTTCATTTTTGAGTTCATATAATTAGTAACTATTGTATTATTGTCAGAATTGCAGTGCGACTCCTTTTGACGCAAAATAACAGCTATTAAGTGAGCAATACATTAATAAACCAAACCAGTGAGTGAACACTCCTCACATATTTATAACTGGCCTAATTTTTTTCAGCTAAAATATTAACGACCAACTGCAAATATACCAACTTCAAAAGATACATTCCAAACGAAAAATAAAGTACTGTATGTGGAAACGTACATCAATGGGAAGGAATTGATTTCACTGGTAAGGAAATACCCTGGCATTAGAGCATTTATACCTACCGGATCTCTTTCCATTAAAACCGCTTGAGGATTTTTTAAACTTCTGTTTTCCCTTCTGTTTCTTCTTTCCACTCTGCTTCTGTAAAATTTAGGAAACATGTTACAAAACTAATCACAGTGTTCTGAAGTGTACTGACATGTGATGAATATTAGCATAATACCAATGTTTAAAGTACATGCATGGCAATACAACATTGAAACCAATAAATGGATAGGGGGTATTTCTTTTATAGACATAACCAAGACAGACCATAATCAATCTAGCATTTTAGCTATCTATATGACAAAAATTGTTAGATACAGCAGCCAAAATAAGTGATACATTGATGGATGTAATAGATGGATGGCTGGATTTAAAGTGTGTAAAATTTTAAGTGTAGAATAAATACAGTACGAGAGACAAATGAATATATTAATCTCTCGTGTGTTCTACTTTCATAGTTTATATTACTTAACTATTGTTATTATTACTCTACGTTTATTTGTTATTTATACATTTTCCATTATTTATTTAAGTCTTATAACTATTTTAAATTTGTTCTGTACATCCTTGTTTTCAACTTACCTTTTTAGTGTACTTTGGTTTAGCTCCTTGCAAATTCCAAGATGCAGAAATATCATCAACACTGTGGTAGTTATTGTGTCTAATATCGGTTGCTTCTTGTGCCGGACCCCAAAAATAGTAACCGAATTGTTTTAGCTTGTCTACAAGAGCTGCAATACGCGAATTGTTTTCCCTTTGCTGATAAAACAATTTTTAAATGTTTTAACGAATATTTTTCAGAATATCTTAACATAAATACAAACAATCATAGTTAAAATTCATCTAAAAATCTAGGAATAATTGCTTAACCTGCCATTTAGCGTTAATTGAATCATTGTGTTCAGCAGCGTTCTCAGCTGGTTTACAAAGAAAATAATAGCTTTAATCGTTTATGTCTTACTTAGTATGCCAACTTTTAAGTATGCATGTTTCTTTAAATCTTTACTTAAATTATTTTGCATGTTTACCAAAATTTAGTCCTATAATTATGATTTTTTCAAGATTTGTTAAATATTTTGGAATCATATAATATTTTAAAAATTGCACACACCTGAGGGGTGAAATGGTTCAAGGTTGCCATGCACTGCTGGGGGCGTCCCAGTGCAAACAGTGCTTGTGCTTTGTCTACTCTCACGTGGTTGTAGGTTGGCTCATGCGAGAGAACTAAATTGAACAAATAGCATTATTTAAGCGACCGACATAAATAAAACACATTATTACTGTATTGTGGTTTAATATGTTAAAGGGCCTATCCAGGATTTTTCGTTAGGGGTGGTGGTGGGGTGGCTGGGAGGGGGGAGGGGGACGCGCCACCAAAAATTTCGAATGTTAAAATCAAAATCATCTGAGCACCACCATGTGAGTTGACGCGGGTGTGGTTGTTCAAGTAGTATGTTCAGAGGTCTTCAATAATAGATTAAATTCAAGCCAACTTACAATGCTATTATTTCAGTTATAAAAAACTATGCATGTTAGTAAAACTTTAAGTTGGAAGGGAGGGGGCGGCGGATAAAGCCTCTTTAGCCCTTCTAAGACCGCACTGATTACGTTCAGTTGTTTATAGACTGAATGACATGGGTAAACTTCTGTTTTACACAAAAATTCGTGATAGTTGAAGGCATATTTTTACATATAAAATTTGTTTCAAAGACTGGGCGCTCCTAAAAATAATTTGCTCAAAAATTGAATTTTAAATAAATTTGAACTGAATTAACGTTACGTTACCTGTATCACAATCTTTAACAGCATCTGCATAGTAACCCTGGATAAAATACAAGAATACATATATATGCCAAAATATTTACATTATATACCGTATTCAATTAGCTTCTACACGTCACATTTCATTATATATATATTTTAATGTGGACGTATTTATTTATTTTATTTTTTCTGTTATTTAGTATTTCTGTTATTTTAATAGTATTCTAAAATGGTGCAAAAAAGAATCTACAATTAGCTATTTATGAAATAGTGCGTCTAGCCATGAGCTATTGCCACATTATTTATTATCAAAACGCCAGTAATCTCAGAGAAAACGACAAATCATTGTGAAGAAAAGAAAGAGATATAAAATGGCCTCTATGAATCAAAAATGAAAGCAAGTTTGGACGGACGACCCAACTAATTTTAGATGTCTAATTCCATGATTTTGTGGAATAAAGTCCAGTCACAGAAATGGAACGATCGGCCCAATTGACTTTCAAGTGGAAAAGACATTTTTGACTTAAATATGCTGACAAAGACTTTTTTGGAAAGTATTGATACTAGCGCATTCCCACTAGCACACTGATAATGTATAGTTCAACATGAAATATTATGATATCGAGGAGAGTAGTAATGGTCGACTTTTTTTGCATTTATTGTATTATTGGATGTCGGGAAGTTGTGCATGAACAATACCAGGACAAATGGCACCACTAGAACAAATACAAAAGCCGATGTTTTCCAATTCATGCATGGATGTATTTGTGTAGAGAGTGTGAGGCGGACCAGAGGCACTGAGGACGATTCAAGAAAGGAATTATAGGAGAATTTTAAAATATATACATACAGCGACAGAACAGCCAAAACGAATATTGTAGCACATACAGTAACTCCTTACCATTTTGAGAAGGCACTGTATTCGTTTAAATAGCAAGGGTTTGTCGTCTTTAAACCGTATATCATCACCACAGGCAAGTAGGTCTTGTGTGAAGCGAAGAGCGTTAGTGAAGAGGATACATGCATTGTCATAAAAAGCGGCATTATACAGTTCTTCGGCTTCCGCTGCGATGTCGCGTTTCAGGTTCCGAAAAAACAGCACACGCTAACAGACAAGATGTTATGTTAGAAATTACATTCATGTCTACATTAACTACATTTTGCAGCCAAACAATGATTGGAAATGGTGAAGTAAGATCATGATTTTGGGGCATCTAAATGAACGATCGTGCCACAGACGATTAATAATGATAAATAATAATTAGAATAAAATTAATAACAATTATTTTAATATTATTTTAATTATTATTATTTTAAATAACAATAATAATATTAATAATATCAATAATAATAATAATAACAATAATAGGCTTTAAGAAGAATATAATACCAATAATATTATGAGTATTGTCATCGTCATAGCCATCATCATTTTCATCAACATCGTCATCATCATCAGCCATATCATCATTATAATTATATTTATTTTTATTATTGTCATCATCATTTATATTATTAAAACTATTAAAAGCCCAACAGAACAAAATGCCCTTTTGGTCAGAATTCTTCACCGAACAATCTAAATTTAATACTTGGCCTACGGTATGTAATTATTATTGCAGGGGTTCTCAACTGTATCGCATATATGGGCCAAAATTGTTCATTGATAAAATGTGAAGGGTCATTGCAAGAGGTTTACATGGCGCGCAGCGCCATGGAGCGCCGCAGGTGTGAGCTGGGTGAGGGGGTGTCCCCCTTCGCGAATTATAAATTTTTTGAAAATAATAAGCTGCTAGACGCTCATACAAGGCATCTTCACCTAAGAAAGTAACGCTTGTTTTGGTAATGTAAAAAGTCAAAATGTTATATATATATCACACAAACCGGGTCATCAGTAATACAGTATTTCTTTGCTGTTTGCTGTGATACTTCTTCCGATTTGATTGATTAAATCGCTACAATTTTTGGGGCAATATATAGGCCTAGTCGACAAAACAGAATGCAAAATTATTAAGGTTAGAAATCTAGGCCCAAGCCTAAATGAAAATATTATTTCAGGCTTGTTCTCGCGGGCCGCATAACACAAACTCGCGGGCCACCAGTTGAGAACCCCTGGTTTACTGATAATCAAGACTTATGTAGTATGATTAGTAGCCTATCAATGCGGTACATCTCCAATATACTATAAATCATGCAAATTTAATGAAAAACTAAATGACAACAATACAAGATACATTATAAGTCGATAAATAAAGATTTCTCCATTCTGTCTCTCTAAGTACACTAAAAAATCATAGTCTCAACAAACCAAACATTCTCAATCAAAATATAGATGCATCGATAAAAATCGGTACATTATGAAATGTTTAATAAATGACCAATATGCCAATAATTTACACATACCGTATTCATGCTTGTGTTTGAATACGTTAATAATAATATAGCAATACCATATGCAAACATGCATAAAAACACAATAATATAAATAAACCAACCAAAAAAAAAAAAAAAAAAAAAAAAAAAATTAAATCAACACTCTTAAACTTCCGACCCGTGTAGAATATGAACACCAATAATTAATATTTATAAGCTTGAAATCATGGTGTGTTCTGCTCACCTCTCTTCTCGGAAGAACATCAAAATCAGGTTGTGTTCTAAAGAAAATAAAACAAGTTCGTTAGTCTGAAACATGTCAGGGTGTCTGAAACATGAATATATTGAAAGCGCCAAAACATAATCTAAATCTGGTCAAAGTACGACCTAGACCTACTACAGAGGTTAACTAGAGAGTATTATGTTCATAATTTACCTAATATTTTTCATGTCTTTTATTAATCAAAAGTAAGTATACTGTATGCTTTTTAATAATCAAATAATAGGCCTATATGATTATTGTTATTATTAAACATACGATATCATTTGTCTATTTTAACCATTATATAATATTTTTGAATTACTGATATTTAATACTGTAATTTTTCTTTTTCCTCGCCAATCAGTTGTTGTTTGCTTTGTTTTTTTCATTTTAATTTTTGTTCTTTGTATGATTGTTACTTGATTGTATTATTATATTATAGCTACGGACTACTTTTGAGTGCGAAAAGTATTGTTTATTATTTTATTTTATTTATTTATTTTTTATTACAGCAAACTGAGAACCAGTGCTCACAATCTAATGATTGAGAGAGGTCGGTATATTATACCAAAAATTATCCCCGATGAGAGAAATATGTAACCATTGCAATTCTGGTGAGGTAGAGGATGAATTGCACTTCTTAAACTGCACTCAATACTCTAACCATAGAAACACTTTATTTTCGAACGTTAGGGATGGTATAAACAACTTGGTAGCTTAAATAATTATGATAAATTCATTAGTCTCATGAGTAGTCAAGATTGTGACGTTTTGCTGCCACTCCTCAAATTTACACGAGCTGTTTTTACGAAGAGGGAAGTCTCTGGAATTTAGTGCTTCTTGTATTGTCTTGTTGGTAACTTGTGTTTCTTTAATATTGTCTTATCAAGATGTTCGATGTATCAATAAAGTACCATTATTATTATTACCACCGTAAAGGTGTGTATCACTGTTCTGAAAGTGAGTAGTTCTAATAAATACTATATTGATACTGAATACTGACCATGGCCTACTACAAAGGTTAACTAGAGAGTACAGTATTATGTAACCTCTGATACTGCCAAATGCGATTATTTTAATAATTTCATTATATCTTTTGTGAGTCATTGTCCCAGTACGGTAAGGGAAAGCTGCATGTGTCTTATTTCCTGTATTATGTATGCTGGTTCGTGTACCATTCAGCTTTGTGATGTTCTCGTTGACTTGGAAAATCCCATTTCATTGGGATTTTCAACGTTGTGTTGAAAATCACAGAATTATTCAAAAGGTGAATACGATTAAATGTACTTTGAACTTTTAAACTTTGAGGATATGATTTCAAGGAGAAACAACAAAATGCAAATGACGAAACGACGGCTTTAACAATAATAATAATAATAACTCAATGTCATTTATTGTGCATTGGTGTTACGGCCTATGGGCATTGTGCATTCGTGTGACTGATAACATATGACTGGAAATTCCAAAATTCAAACGTTGGCAAATCATAAGAACCTGTCTTACTCAGAGGCCTAGGCCTATATGACGAACTGTCAGAATTGCTTTGTAATGTCATCCCTCTAACTCGACCGCAACGATTATAGCATTGGGCCTATATAATAATTAGGTTATACATTAATTTGGCAGTTTCCTTTATCTGATTTTATTATAGCACTACAAAATATCGTTCGTCACTAACCCGATATTAGGCCTATATTTAAATTCCAGCATCCACAATCAATTATCATCTTCATCATTATCACTATCAACCATAATAATAATAATAATAATAATAATATTATTATAAAAATAATATTAGTATTAATATTTTATTATTATTATTACTGTATTACTATTATTATTATTAGTAAAGTCACCACCACTAACGTAGTACCCTTCTATTGATTTGTCTTCATGGCCTACAAAACAATTCAACTTGCCTATATTGAGGGCCTTATTCACTTGATATAACCACAAATAAAATTATATTAAAATCTAAATACAGTAACCACGAAACAATGAAAAGAATTATCAACACATCAAGATTTACATTTGAGGTAATACAGTATTGATGATAACACTACAGTATTACCGACATTGTTTGAACTTTGACCTTCACATTTTGAACCATTACACTTAAACTCTACAATACATTAATGATTATTCGATAGGAATATCAGATTGTAGTGCTTATTCATGTTTTAATCAGAATTAGGCAAAAGTCTGTAGGTCTACGTGTGCAACGATTAACTAACAATTCACTTTTCTTTATGTAGGCCTACTGTATCGCATTACTATTTAAAGCGGGTAACACTTCCGGCAAATTTGATATGCAAGGAGGAGGCGGGTGAGGGACACACACCAGATAAATGAACATAATTTAAAAATGGCTATATAGACCTTAATTAGTTTATATATGCTACACGTTATATATATA